CGGTGATGTTGAAGTTGATTCGTGCGTCGATCAAAGTCCGGTGCAAAGTGGTGTTCTTCCTACTGTCCTGAAGTCCAATGCTGCTGGCGGTGCCTGGCAACAGCAAGCCCGGTTTGGCAATGTACCACGGATGGTCACCCTCCTTGGCTCGCAAGGCACAGTCGTGGGCAGAGAACTCCAATTTGTGACCGGAGTTGTCCAAAAGTAAAATTCCAAGGGTTCGGAACTTCTTGCCTCCATAGCGAGCCAAGAGTTGCCAATGCACCGCATTCTCAGGGTTGCCACTGGATTCCAAGTCTTTCTTGAACTCCCATGCCACAAACACGCCTTCCCTCAACAAAGTGTAGTGAGCCCCATACAAAGAATGGATATGCGGGTCGCCACTGGCACCACCACTGGTGGTTGTGGTTGTGGTTGTGGTTGAGGTTGTTGTTCCTGATGATGGATCGTTTCCTGACTGGGAGGTTGAAGTCGTCGTTGAAGTCGTTGTTGTTCCTGATGATGGATCGTTTCCTGACTGGGAGGTTGAAGTCGTCGTTGAAGTCGTCGTTGAAGTCGTCGAAGTGGTGGAAGTCGTCGTTGAAGTCGTTGAAGTGGTGGAAGTCGTTGAAGTGGTGGAAGTCGTTCCTGCGCATCCTCCAACACAATCGATGGTTGGATTGTCGGCCCCGACATCGGCGTCGCTGACACAACAGAAACTTGGCTTACAAGTTTGTTCAGCGTTTGAGCATGGTTCTGTAAGTTCACACACTGGATCTTGATTGTTGTTGCCGGGTGGTGTGGGAAAATTGGTTGTAGAAATTGCATCGCCTCCGGCAAAGCATTTAGCATCACCAATCAATTCTACTTCCAGGCCTTTACAAGGCAAGTCGGCGTTCTTGTTAACCCCATCCAACGTGCAATTAATATTTGCACAAGTTCCCGACCCTGTCAGCGTGAGCCTGGCGCCCTGACAGGCCTTGAATCCACTGCAGTACAGGTTCGGATAAGAGTTATCCAGAGGAAATTGGAAGTCTGCTTGCTGGCATGAGCCTTCAAGGTTTCAAATGGAAGAGTATGGAACCATATGGAACGATGAAACAACGACAAGAATCAAATCAAAAATTGTGTCTCCTGAACCCGTTGCAAAAAAAAAGGAGACTGTGGGAGCGCGTTTTTTACTGTGTTTACAGCAAGTTGTTGGTGCTAATTAATGTGGGATCCTGATTAGTGTAGGGGATCCCCCCCCTCAAACAATTTTTGGTAACTGAATAGTGTGGAAATTTCAAGGGACCGGAGTTCGAATAGTGTGGAATCAAAATTACTTTACTTCGAGTGATCCCCACCATGACATTTATACGTTTTAATATTGGCATATCTTCTAGCATTCCACCTGGTCACTGACAAATCTGCAAGCAAGCCATTGCGTTCTTTTTGCTCTGTGACTTGCTAGCCGGTCTGCCGCTTCACTCTAGAACACAGCTTTCCCACTATCACAAAACAAGATCAAGTTGACTTGATCTTGCTTGACCCAGGACCCAGCAAAGCAAGCGATCCACTCAAATTCTACACACATGATCTTGTATTCTATCTGGTTTCTCATCTGCCATTCTTTGTCCATATGTTGTAGTCCATTTGACTGGCAAACTTCTTTCGGACGTTCTATCCTGCATATCTTCTGGCACACTTTCTGCCAATCTATGTGGCATATCTTCTGGCATTCGATCTGACATTCTATCTGGCATATCTTCTGGCATTCTATCTGGCATAGCTTCTGGCATTCTATCTGGCATATCTCATGGCATTTTCTCCGGCATATCTTCTGGCATTCTATCTGGCATATCTTCTGGCACACTTTCTGCCAATCTATGTGGCATATCTTCTGGCATTCGATCTGGCATTCTATCTGGCATTTCTTCTGACATTTTATCTGGCATACCTTCTGGCACTCTATCTGGCATATCTTCTGCATTCTATCTGACATTTTGTTTGGCATTCTCTCTGGCATACCTTCTGGCATTTTATCTGGCATATCTTCTAACATTCTATCTGACATTTTGTTTGGCGTTCTCTCTGGCATACCTTCTGGCATATCTTTTGGCATTCTATCTGACATTCTATCCGGCATATCTTCTGGCATTCTATCTGGCCGTTGAGGCCCAGCGGTGCGCACTGAGCTGGGGAGGTCCCAGGTTGAGGTCCAGCGGTGCGCACTGAGCTGGGAACGTCCCAGGCTGAGGTTCAGCGGTGCACACTGAGCTGGGAAGGTCCCAGGTTGAGGTCCAGCGGTGCACACTGAGCTGGGAAGGTCCGAGGTTGAGGTCCAGCGGTGCACACTGAGCTGGGCAGGTCCCAGGTTGAGGTCCCAGTGCACACTGAGCTGGGAAGTTGGCAAAGAGCTTGGCGAAGAGAGTTGGCAAAGAGCTTGGCGAAGAGTTGGCAAGGCGGAAGTGGAGGTGGAAGTTGATGCAGACATGGTCGAGGAGAAACCAGAGGAGGAGGAGGACGAGGACGAGGAGGAGGACAGCTAGCCGAGGAGGAGAACAACTCTGATAAAATCTAACAACCCTCACCTGGCAGGTGGGGAAAAAATGATTGATTTCAATTGATTTCAATTTACTTTCAATTGATTTCAATTTACTTTCAATTGATTTCAATTTACTTTCAATTGATTTCAATTTACTTTCAATTGATTTCAATTTACTTTCAACTGATTTCAATTTACTTTCAATTGATTTCAATTTACTTTCAACTGATTTCAATTTACTTTCAATTGATTTCAATTTAATTACTTTCAATTGGCAAAGGGAATGTTTAAAAAAACATCACCTCAAGAAGCAGCTGGACACAGTAGTGAGCCCCTCAAACAAACCATACTATTGTGGATCAGGGTTGCTCATGGACTACCCCCTTGAAAAATTGTTTGAGTGCTGTTTTTTAACTGGGTTTTAATAAGGCATCATATTTTCTGGGAAATTGAACATTTCTGAGAATTAATTAGTTTTAATTAAAAGAAACAAACTAAAAGAATAAAAGCAAAAAGCTTTAGCAAAGGAAAAGGTAAAGGGAATGTTTCAAAAAAAAATCACCTCAGGAAGCAGCTGGGTACAATAGTGGACCCCTCAAACAAACCATACTATTGTGAATCATGATCATTCATGATTTTTTTGGTTGGCTGAAACTTATCCTTTGGCAAGCCTTTGGTTTTGATTTCAATTGAGTTCAATTCATTTTCAACTGATTTTCAATTGATTTCAAGTTAATTTCAATTGATTTTCAATTGGTTTAAATTGATTTCAATTGACTTGCAATTGTTTTCAATTGATTTTCAATTGATTTCAATGCATGTTCATCTCACATGGGAGATTTGTCTTAGCGTGTGAAGGCCCAGGTTCCACTCTAGCCAGCTTCTTAGCATCCCATCACCTCAGCCATGGAGCAGTTCAAAACTGAGATGGCCAGTTCAATTACCATCCTTTGGAATGGGTTTCCCACCTGAGCAAGGTCCTGGCTCAGGAGCAATTCTCTTTGGATCCTAAGGCTTGGATTTGCTTTCTTGTTTCCCAATGGGGATCACTAATTAGTTAATTGAATAATTAATTAGCCAATGTGCTTTATTTTTGGGTGGTTCTTTAAGCAACTCCAAAAGGTGGTGAGCCTGAGAGATGACATGGCTATTCTCAAGGTGAGGCTCAGATGCTCTCAGGAAGAGTTTGTGGACCTGCTGAAGAGGTACTACACTCAGCAGTTGGCTCAGATTGAGGATCCTGATGCTGTGCCTGATTGGGTGATGCTCAGTTTCAGTGGTGATCTCAGTCAGATCTTCAGAGACCTCAGAGCTCACCCAGGGATCACTCAGGGGCAATGGATCAGGATTCTCAAGACAGCTCTTGAGGATGCTCAGGATGGTTTGCCCTCAGCAGAGCCTATCTATCCTTCTCAGCTTGCCCAGCATGTCAAGCCTGTTACATTTGATGCTACCTTTGAGAAGTTTCAGAACATGGACAAGGAGTTGAATGCTGGGACTGAGGTGATGGAGGTGGCTGAGGAATCTCAGGTCTTGGATTCTCAGCCTATGAGCCTATGAGAAGTGATGATGAAGCAGCACCAGATCCATCCTCAGATGCTGAGCCCATGGCTGAGGACTCTGGCATGCTCATGACTCCCAGGTCTTTGGTGACTCTCAGAAGGATGGTGAAGCAGCATCAGATCCATCCTCAGATGCTGAGCCCAAGTCCAAGGAGGTGGCTGAGGACTCTCAGCATGCTGATGACTCTCAGGTCTTTGGTGACTCTCAGCAGGATGATGAAGCAGCATCAGATCCATCCCCAGATGCTGAGCCCAAGTCCAAGAAGGCCAAGACTGAAGAGCACTAGAGGACTGAAGGGTGTTCTGGTGGTGTGGGATTGGTGCTCAGCTTGGCCATAATCTTAGACTTTTGGCAATTTTGATCAGTACCTAATTAATCAATTGATTAATCAACTAATTAGCATGCTTATGCATGTTTAAGTTTCTTATAATTGAGCAACTAATTAATCAAGAACTCAACGTCGCCATTATTTTCCTCCAACTGCATTGCAAAGTCTGTAGTGGTGTTGTGGCCAAAAGCAGTTTCATGCAGCCAGCAACACAACATGCACACATCAACCACTGACGGCGGTGCTGGGGCCGGTGGAGGGAGCTCTTGAGATTTGAAAAAGGCATCCGAATCGTTCTTATATTGTCAAGAACTCAACGTCGCCATTATTTTCCTCCAACTGCATTGCAAAGTCTGTAGTGGTGTTGTGGCCAAAAGCAGTTTCATGCAGCCAGCAACACAACATGCACACATCAACCACTGACGGCGGTGCTGGGGCCGGTGGAGGGAGCTCTTGAGATTTGAAAAAGGCATCCGAATCGTTCTTATATTGTCAAGAACTCAACGTCGCCATTATTTTCCTCCAACTGCGTTGCAAAGTCTGTAGTGGTGTTGTGGCCAAAAGCAGTTTCATGCAGCCAGCATCCCATCCCTACCTTTACATTTAGTCAAGTGGTTGATGTGATAGAAAAAAGAACCATGTCGCTTCCGGCATGCAAGCTCTGTCGAACTTCTGTACTGCAGCCAGAATATCTCCAAACACGGAAAATGCCTGCATTACTTTGGTGTAGGCTTCTCGACTAATTTCATTCATATATGTCACAGCCATGACTTCCTGCAAATAAATCTCCATGATTCTGAAAGAGGCCCAACGACCTCTGCGCCTCACTAGTTCTGCTGACTCAGTTGCAGTCATTAGCCACATCGCACCTCCTAGGCGAAAAGAGGCCAACGAGATAGCCTTGATTCGGGAGGAGTCACGAGTCGGCAGGGCCAACCTGCCAAGCAGCTTCAGCAACCTAGAACGCAAAGTAGAGTTTGAGAAATTCCACAAAGGTTCATGGGGCATGAGCTTTGCAAAACCAATCTTGACAACTTCAATCAGGTCTACTTGCTCCAGCTTTGCAGCCTGATGCCTGGCAGCTCTATAGCGAGTCTTTGGTTCAGAAATTCTCAGCAGCACGTAATCAGTTGTTTCGTCAACGTCAGACGGAAGCACTAAATCGCGCCGCAGAGCACTGGTCACCTCCCCAATCCTCAACAGAGCCCCAAACGCCAAAGCAAAGATAGCCCCTTCTCTTCTCCAACCCCATAGGAAAGACGCGCTAATGAGAGCAACCAAAATCTGAAACGGAACAGCTATGTGATGTTCTGCGGGTTCATGTGAGTTCCACAGAAATGCCAGATCCCAAGCCTGCTGTAAGGACCGTCTTACCAAAGGTCGGGCATTCGTCACAGCATTGACAGTTTCAGAATAATGATAGTAAGGCTTCCCTTCGCTGAAAAGCCATCTCCCATAGTCCACAAGCTTCTGATTGAGGTTGTCCAGGTCAAGCGGTGAAGCCATGACAACCGAATCAAAATTCTCACCCTGCGCCGTCAGCCAGTGTCGAAATTTCTCCAGCAAGCTCTCGCGATGAAAGCTGGTGGTGGCAGTCACACGCCTGCCATCTTCCAGCACAATCCCAGCTCGCTGTTGACGCCTCAAAGCATCACCATGGCTCGCACCCCTTCCGCGCGCCGCTGCCCAGGAAGGAAGACAAAGAGCCAGGAGGGTGCATGAGAAAATCCAAAGAGAAATCCAAGGAAACGGGCCCTCACCTGGAAACCCAAGAGTGGAGTCAAAGTCCATTCCCACTCTGGATTTGAGATGATGGATGAAGCATGGCGACGGAGAGAGGAGGCTGAGCATTGAATCCAAATAATGGAAGGTGAAAGGAGGATGGAAAGCCTGACCCAATTTGAAGCCCATCTCCTGATACCCGCCTTGGAAGACAAAATCCACAGAGCTTTGATATCCTTTAGCAACAAGAGAAGTCCATCAACTTGCTGGGGGGATCTCTGAATCTCTAGTTGGATGGTCTGCCGGATTTGGCCTGGTTGGTGCAAAACGACCAGCTGGGAGGATGCCAAACGCGATGCAAATTGCTGCTGAGGCCTTAAGCATCTGCTGGAGTGCTCTTGAGGCTGATCTTCCTTTTGCCACAATACTGCGGCTCACATGAGAGTCTGCCAAATATGTGACACGCAAATCGCCTCCATCTCGGGCAACTCTGCGAAAAAGCCTCAGGGTAGCAGCAGCTTCCAAAACATTGATGTGACTCTGTGCCTTCCACTCCCAGCTACCTAGCCAGAGCAGACGCAACCACTCCTGCAGCCACCTCATCTTGCTGAGCCTCGGCTGTTCTCCCAATCCAAACTTTCCAAGCCTCAAGCCTACCAAAAGCAGCACCAAGGCGGCAAACGCTAGCATGTTGCCTAGCAGAACCTTTGGGTGTAGTCTATAGTGGGTCAAAACCTCTTGGCTGAGCATAGGAACGCACCATTGGGTGAGCTGCAGGGCTGAAGGAAGTGCAAGGAGGAGAAACTAGGAAACTGTCCAGCCTGTCATCCTCCATCATAAAAATAATCCATTCCAGAACTCTTGACTCCAAAATGTTGAAATGAGGGCTGACTGACAGGTCAAAAACAGGACCACACACGCACCCTTTCTCAATCATCTTCTTCGTCACAACGCCAGCCCCTCCGCAAACTTCCAAGAACTGAAAACGGAGCCCAAGTGGCCGGGACACGCCGGCTGAGATCTCACCAGCTGCTCTTCCTTCCGCAAGCGGGCGCTCAAACTCCGGCTCAAAATCAGGGTCATGAATGGAAGCATGACCTGAGATGCCCGCTTCATAGGAACGTTTTGCCCATTTCGATCTGCTGACCTCCAAACCAAAGCCGACAAAGGCTCCTCAACTTTTGCTGCAACAATACCGCCCATTGCCATCGAAGCATCAGTGGCGTAGACATGCTGAGGAAAAGGGGTAGCCAAATTTGTGCAAATAACAGGTGCCAAACAAGAAAGCAAAACTAGCTCATCTGCCGCAGCTCGTGACAACTTTCGGAGCCGGGGGTGCTCAGGGTCAAGCTCGTCACTCGGAATCACATGAAAAGCTCATTGAGGACGGCCATGGCCTGCCTCCGTATAAGCAGAGCTGATACCCATGAACCAGTAAGACATGAATGAAGAGCATCTGAGGTAAATCGCAAACAGGCTGCCGCGCTCGAAAGGGCACCGAGCACCAACCGCTTTTCTTTCGGGGCCCCTGCCACGACAACTCCATTCTTGACTGATTTCCATGATGAATCAACCTCAGCGCCGCAAACTTTGAAGACAACATCTCCAAGCACATCTTTGTCATCCGAGCCCAGCAGCCCCTCCTCATCATAGGCTTTCTTCGCAACCCCTAACTGCCGAACTGCAAGGGACTCATTGAGGCAGCTGAAGTTTTGGGCCGTCTCAGAGGAGACGAAAAACATGTCATCAATGATCAGCCCAGCACATACATCATCATAAAGGATGGGCCGACTACCTTGGAGCCTCCTTTCATCATCCAAAAGCCCCCAAGAGCGCATGAGGTTTGCATGAGCGTCTGTTGCATATTCAACTCCAAGGTGGTCTCCTTGGTAAAGCGCACCAAAACAAGCCACATAGCGCTCAGTGTCCAAGAGAATTGGCTTGGGTGACAAACCGAGCCGGTCTCCAACCACATGGCGATCACTGATACGACCTTGAGCAGTTTCTCTCTCGACCATCAATTGGAAAGCAGAAAAACCCTTCAGCTCATCTGCAAGAAAAGGTGGAAAGAGTGCATTTCCACAAGCTTTCTCATCACTGACCTTGAATTGGTGATAGAAGTCACGCCTGTCTGTCACTGCACCACTCAACATTTCTGTGAACCTCCTCGGGCAAAGCTGGAGGAGAGATGTAGCATTCGGCAGGGTCTTGGAAGGTCCTGAGATTTTCCCCTCGCAGAAATTCATGCCTCTCCTATCGCCGATCTGGCGATCTGCTACTGGCGACTTGTAGTTGTTAAACACCTTGACAAGCCCCCACCTATGTTTCGGCCTGCAGTGTTCAGGAAATATCCGAAGGAGTCCCCTGAGATCCCAAACCTTACACAGCTTCAGAACTTCAGCTCTATCAACACGGCTCAGGTCAGGAAGCACATCCTTCGGAGGCTTGATGTCAAACTGATTCACGCGGGGCTCAATGTAGGGCATGTAGAAGAGGTCAGAAAGGAAAGGGACAGGATCCCACACGCCACTACCTGAAAGCTTCAACCTCTCCGCACACAGCTCGCGACACGGACGCAGCTCCTCCCTCTCATTCTGTGCAGGGACAAAGACTTCGCTTTTGCCACCTCTGTACTGTTCTGCACTGTCTAGACCAAGACGTTGCACGGCCTCGACCAATTCACTGAATCTTGCATCTAATTGATAAGATTTGCGTCCACAGTTGAAGATCGAAATCTTTCAACTGGGCCGCCCGCTTTGATAAGGGCCAAAAGCCTGGAAAAGACAGACAAGTGCAGGTCACTAGGGCTCCTCCCAAGCAAATGAACCACATTCAAAGGTGAAGCAAAATGGAGGTAGTTGAGCGCAAGAATGACAAGTTGAAGCATCTTCCTGTGCGCTCTACGTACCCTGCATGCCTTGCTCCAATGCTTGGGGACCACACTCCAAACATCATCACGAGGTAAAGGAATGGGAAACAAAGCGGTTGTAGGAGGACCTAAAATTCCATCTCGGCGTGGAGGATTGCTCTGTGCACAAACCATGCAAAAGGTGTCTTCGACCTGAGCAGGTTCCTGAAAACAAGATCTGGCCATGCTGCAACTGAAAGGCTCTGCAAAACGCCTCTTTCATCAGGCTCGCTTTGATGGGCCCCAATCTCAGTGTCGAATTCACCAGAGCCTGACGGCCAGCCAACTTGCCCCGCTGGAGCCACCTGAACCCCCCGACCGCGCGCTGCGGAACCAGAGGCCCGCACTGACGTAGAAGAACTCGGCAAGGGGGCAGGGCTCAGCAAGGGACTTACGGGTGGCTGACCGATTGGAAAGAATCCAATCTTTTCCACTAGCTCTGCTCTGGCTTTGTGCAGCCTTCGCCTTTGGGTATCTTCTCTTTGGGCTGGGAGGTCCTGACTGAGCAGCTTTGCCCTCTCTTGTCTTCTGGACTGTATGTAATCCATCTCCTTTGCAAAAGCCAGCGCCACTGTGGCCCACCGCTGAGGACACAAGGCTGAGAAAGCCCTGGCTCGGCCCGTGGTGTGGAATATTGAGGTGCTGTAAGAAAAGATCTGAGGAGGAGGATCTTCCAGAAGCGTCAGCTGGAACGCCAGGTCCCACTTGTTCTGGCCCTGAGCTGCTTGCTCTATGGCCACCATCGCCAATGAGAGGTGCTCGCGGACGCCTTCCATGCCGTCCCTCATTGCAGCATCTGCCACAAAAGCCAGTGCATATTGGATGATCCCCAGCTCTCTTGCATTTCCGTATCCTCCGCAACGTTCCAAGTATTGTATCATAGAAAAGTCTGTTGCCGCAAGATCTACAATACTGGGAGGCAGCTGACTGGCCGGCCTCATCCGACGGAATGCATTCTGCATCACCTGGAGGAAAAATCCCCCGGTCCGTTGTGCAAGCTCCTTTTGCAGCCTTTCTCGACCTGCCGCCCCTCTTGAAGAAGTTGAAGATGCAGTGCCCTGAGGGTCCAGCAGAGGATCGCCTCCCTGCTGGAGATGTGCTACCAGTGATGTCAATGCCACTGATTGCTGAAGGACGGCTTGCGCCAAAGTGTCTCCCCCAGGCACTGGAGGTAGCTCCTCTTCCGCCAACTGGGCTCCTGCTTGGCCTAACAGGCTGGCCTTCGGAGGCGGTGATGGCAGCCCCACATGCTTCGTCCTCGGGGGCGAGCCCATCATCTTTGCAAAAGATTGGAGGGGCATGGAGACAGGCATCTGTGAAGCCCTCGGTGGTGGGGCAGCTGCATTTTGCTCTACCAATCTCTGCAGCCTCTGCTGCTCCTCCTGCATGGCTGACAACTGGTTGAACATCTGGGGCAACATCTTGCTCATAACTGTTATGTGCTCTGCCATGTGCTGCGGATGGACGCTTTGCCTTTTCCGCGGCTTTTGCCTTTGCTTTGGCCTTTGGGGTCGGGGCAACCTCCTCTTCCAGCCCTTCCGGGGCCTCTTCCGCAGAGTAAAAGGCTACCTGTTCTCCTCCAGCCGTATTCACCCACTCCCGAGTGAAAGCCAAAAGTCTGATAGGATCTGGCAGCATTCCAAGGTCTGTTGCAAACCCAGAGATGTCGGCCTCGTCCACCTCGCAGTGAGAAAGAAGGGCCAAATTGCTTGGCGTTGTTCAGTAGTTGTCTGGTTGCCTTTGATCTCTTGAATTTGCAATTAATATGTTAATTTAAAGATGGATACAAAGTTTCGGGAATCCTTCAGTGACCAAACTATAATATCTGAGATATTAAATGGATGTCTGATTAAACCCATGGGGCTATATAGGGTTTGAAATGTGGGAAATGGCCGGCTGCATCGACTTATTATAAGCTCGCATCATTTTTTCTCGCAGGACTTTGCGAAGGTGTCTGTGTGTGCACCGTGTCTGTAGCTGTAGCTGTCATCCGGGCCTCCGAAAAACATGAGAAACTTGGACTTGCAATCTTTCAACAGCTTTCCTGTGAGATTTTTTCAGCAGCTTTTTTTCCTCAGTGAGAGGAGGACCGCTGACGCTAGCTCAACGGGAGTCCTACACCAAGGCCCATCCGTGAGGCTTGGAAAACAACATTGGTGGGGGTGTATATATAAGCGTGGATTTAAAATATATGTTGTTACTAAATTAATCTTCTAAATAAGCCTCTTTAAAGCCTCACAGCCGCCTCCGGTCACTCAGGCATGGCGAGTCTCTCACCAAGGCAAGGGGATTTTTTTTCCCTCATCTTCTTCTCCACCAGCGCCCGCGTCCACGGGAACTTCTTCGGTCTCATCTTCTTTTTTGCTGGTCTTTCGTGGCTTCTTGGGCTTCGGCTCTCCTTTTGGTGCCGTGTCGCTTTTCTGCTTCTTTGGCTGGGTACCGTCTTTGACCATCTCGGCTGGCGGCTCTTGCGCGGCTTCCGGCCTGTAATGGCTCGAACCTTCTCTGCGCATTTCAGTCAGCACGAACTCCGTCAGCATCATCTCCATTTTTTTCCCATGGGCTTCTGAGAGAACGAACCCAAAATAAGGGAGTCGTTCCAGCAAATAGGCGCGGGCAGCGGATCCTTGTCCACAAGACAAATCCACCATTGCTTTGGCCGAGTGGCCTATCAGCATGTCTCGGAAAAAATTCTCTGGCAACAAGCTAGCGGAGAAGACGCTTTCCAGCACTGCAGTCTGCTCGCCACACTGATTCTTCTCGGCAGCTTCCGGGGTCACCTCGACGGTTCTTGCCTTGCCCAGGATCTCCACTTTCTCGCTCCTGTTGGTGTGCCAGAGGTCTGTGGGTGACAAGGCTTTGACTCCATGCACAACATTGGACGTGCAGTGGCCAGTGTGGTGCTCAAACTGCTTCTCAGGGAGGCACTGCGTTAAGCAGTTAGAGCTTGCAACAGCCATGCACGTGTGGGAGGTGTAGCCTCCGCGCACGCGCTGCTTCCTGTTGCGGATAGAGGCATCGTCAAAGACAACCAAAACCTCTTTGACCTCGGAGTCCAAGTCACCTTTGGAACTCGACAGCTTGAACATGCTTTTGGCGTCACTAAGGCCGCCTGCCTGCACCCTCGTCCTTTCCTGGAACTTGTGCCCGGTGCAAAATAAATTGTCCCCGGGTCAAATTCTGAAAAGGACACTTTTTAAGCTATGCGCCACAGCCTCTAGTTTGTCCCTAAGCAAGTGCTGTCAGACATTGTGCTTCAGCAAGTCGGGATATGCAAGTGTACGGCCATGCATGTGTTGAATATAAAGCGGTGCACGGCGCACCCCTAATTAAACTTGAGCCTGGAAGTTTATAGAAGTAACAATTCCGTGTTACGTTGCATGAAGACTTCCGAAAAAAGACTCCATATTATTTAATAGTCCCTATGGGGAAGTGTGGGCGCGTCCTATCAATTATAACTATGCCGCGTGATTAAAAAAACAGAGCGTCTACATATTTTACCATGCCTCCATGCAGTGCACTACCACAAACCGATGCCAATACCCAAAAACAAATTCACTTCATCAAACTTCTCTCAAACAAACACACTTCCTCTACCAACCTTTCTAAACAAGTCAAAAAACTTCGTGCACAAAAAAATTGACGAATGGCTTGCAGTGAATCACTCTCGGACATGTCACTCTCTTTTCACATCGCAAATCTCAAGTTATTGCCATGTCAGGCTGCTAAGCTCTGCTTATCAGACTCAGTCAAGAACGGATACACCCCATGGGTGTGCCAGGTATACCTGCAAGTATTGAAAGTGACTTGCAGGAATAAATCCGCTGCCAAGCGCTGAGCTCGTGCAAGGTCAAACGGCAGAAAATTTACACCCAACACCAGTGTAGCTGGAGTGTGAACATCTGGCAGCTCATCCGGCTGGCCCACACATGAGGAATCATGGGATTGTAAATTGGACATGAATTACCCTGGTCATTAAGGCGGCGATATTGAGAGGAAACTCCGTCGAAACAAACAATAATGAACATACGAACCCCCACCTTAATGCACTCACAGATTTGAAATCACGCTTCACTTAAAAATTTTGTTTAACATCCGTTTCCTTTATTTGATCTCATTTTCTCAGGTCAAGAAAATTAAATTGGCTTGATTCCAGGAAAGTGAACATGGTTTGCACGGAAAAAACAGGAGGCCAACTGCCCAACATGTTTTTTGGCTAGACCAAAAAACAAAGCTTTTCCTGTGGTCCAAATTAGCTTATAATATTTGTTCCAAGAGTGATAACGTTCACGGCCGGGTGGAATCTGAGCGTGGCGTTCTTTTGCCTCTGCAATAACATATGATCCCCGTTTGCAATCGCATAGAGCTCACATGGTTTAAACCATCACTCTTTGAACCATGTGAGACCAAAATTTTGTATATGTGCCGGCCGGCCCGGTCACAAAAGTTGTTGCTACTGTTGTGCTGCCGGGCAAAGGCATGCAAGGGAATAAGCTAGGACTGCTCTTGCTGTGCGTTTGCCAGGTGGACATTAATGCCTAAGAGCATGCGCTCCAGCGCACGCTTTCCAAGCGTTAATGGGTGAACCGCTCCTTTCAGCATGCGAGTCACCTGCCCCACATAATCTTCCTCATTGAAGCATCCGACATGCCTATGGTTTAGCCGGCTGCCCTGCCGCAACCGATTGAGAAGTTCGCACTTCACTGAGTGGAACTTCGGTCTCATGCGGTACAATGGCTTCTTCTCGGCAATGGCCTTGGAGGATTGCTCTAGGTAGCATGCCATGAACAAGTCGCCAAAAGTCAACGCAGCAACTGCAGCTTCCTCTTCCAACCAAAGCCCTGAAGAATCCAATGTCGCTCCATACTTCGCTAATGCCCATGCACAAACACCAGGGGCATGAAGCTCCGCGGATGTTGTCTCCTAGGGCGGTGTCCATTGATATAGGGTCGAAGCGAACAGCTTTAAATTAGGCAAAAAGCGCAAACTTTCCCAACAAAAAAACAGCGTGACAAACCTTAGCAAATCACGCAAACAAGTAAGATGCCTCACAAGAATTCGGGGCCCAGAATCTTCGAAGATGTACTCAGCAAGGAATGCAATCCTCGATCTCCAGAACTCAACCTACACCATGTAATAAATATAATTAATAAATACATATTTAAAATAATTACCGAAAAATAGTATAGATATATATCTCTCTTCCTATATCAAATACAGGGTGTTACTACGTAGAGTTGAATTGCTGGAGAAATGAAAAATTCCACAGACAAAATTCCAAGAAACCACACCCGGATGGCGTACGCCTTGCTAGGCCCCAGTGGAAAATCATAGGCCAAGGCATCCACCCCGAGCTTCTGCAAGCCTGAGTTGTGAATAAGGACCCCATCCCTCAAATCCAAAAACCTTCAGGTTGGATGGGAGGGCTGAAACCCCAAAGTCTGTCAACAATATGCGTGCAGGAGACTGACCTCTTCGATGGTGCTAGGGCGGATGCTGTTTCGAGAGCACCACGCTTGGCACTTCGCATGCAAAGCACGCAATCGGCCATCATAGCTTGTCTCTGCGAAGTCACCGTGAGTGGCCACTTGCATCAGTAAAGAGCCGCACAAATCACGACCGACACCAAGCCACACTGCGTGCAATATGTCGCACCACTCCATGTTCGGGTTCCACCCAGCCAGGCCCCACAGCCTCAGGGACAGATGGCGCAAGGCTTCGGTCTTAGATAGGCTGTGTCCACATGAGCTATATATAGAACGGTTGCACCAACTCATGTGTGTGCCCACTCCCCCGGACGAACTCTACAACACGTGTCATGAGGTGATCGTGAAAACACAATATCTGATCTATAGGCCCATCAAATCTTAAGTGGTAATCGAATCTGTATACTCCGTACTAAAACATATCGGAATTACTGACTTGCTGATGTGCAAATCACTATCTGCAAACTAGAAGCGGAATGTCTTCCCCGAACGCAGTGGCAATGGCTGACTCATCTGTCGCATCTTCCAACTGCATCCATGTCTGACCATTGGCATAGCACCGCCTGCAAATCCCTGCCCTGTTCGCCTGCACACCTGTCTGATACCAATACCGCTTTTCGCAAAGCCAGTCTTTTTTGTGCTTCCAGTCGCCTTTGCCAGCTATGTAAAACAAGGTGTAGCCTCCTCCGCATGGCGTCTCTGCCACCGAATTCATCATCCTGCATGCAGAAACGGGCAGGCATCAATATATGAGAGAGCCATGCATGGATGTGCACCAGAAAAACCTCAGTTTGTCACATGTGATATGTGAATTTCTTTCCAAAACCTGAAAGCTGTAACCTGGATCAGCGAAATGCTACGCTTTGACACCTGCCATGCTCGATCAGAATGACACTAGTGCAGTCCTCACAAACGCCTGCTGCAGGGCCATCATGGTCACGTTGGTCTTGTCCTTGAAGGCCATGATGTCAGATTTTCTAACCTGCACAGCTCAAAGCTTACTATACACCATTCTTCTTTTTCGCATGGGACGCTGCTTGTATTTCGTTTGCCTTCAACTATTGTATATATATATCTATCTATCTATCTTTCTTTCTTTCTTTCTTAGGTGGCAGACAGCTATATATGTGGTTTGAATTCATTACTGTCCTGGAGTGGCTGTCAAGCTTTCTGGGTTCAGGAACAAACTGCCGCCATGGAACCACAGCTGGAGTGCACGACAACTTTTTCTGAGGTGCTGGCACAGAGCGCTGCAACTTGTCTCTCGCTAAAACAACTTCACATAGCACGTGAAGCTGCAAAACAAAAAAGCTAAGACCGGTCTCCATGGCTGCACAGCATCTATCTATGCCTTGCGACGGCGTTTGCTGCCGCCGGCAGAGCTGTGGCAGACTAGCTGGTTATTCACGATTCGGCAAGGAAACATCTCATCGGCATGCTGAGCCATGAACTGCACCACACCGGCATCCTGTTCGGTGATCAGTCCTCGGCGAACGATCTGGCCTTTACCCTCAGCCAGCGTCTCAGCCCATGTTTTGGGTTCCACACCAAAAACGATGGCCAACACATCACCTGGGTCTCCACAGGGGTTCGTGAACTCCACTGACCAATTTGGCGGTCGGTGCACCACCGTCGCCAAAAGCTTGTACTGCTGAATTGGCTTCAAGACCAAGGCCGGAAACTTCAGGGAGCAATGATGGGCGATCATATGATGCCCCACCACCTTTTTGACATGCCACTTGAAGCTTCCGAAAACATTGGTGATCAGAAACTCCTGCTCCTCAAAGCTCTTGCAGAAGTCCGTGTAAGCCTGGCTAGCTTTATCCGAAGATTTCGGTCCCAGCTTTTTCCAATTCAGTTCGTCCTTGTAGGCATCGCGCTTTGGAAGGTCCAATGTGTCATTGGGACCCGGCAGTTCAGCATACTGCCATCCATGGGTCGTGTCAGGCATATTGCAGGACGACATGTTGCGAAAATTTACCACCAAAAGCTCGAATCAAGATGGCAACTCAACGAGCAGTGGCATGTTTCCCATGCGAACCACTGGCCAGCAAACAAAAAAAAGTGGCCCGTTTAGGGTTTGAAGTTCTATATATAGTGATGAACGCACATAGGATCACTCTGATGTGTTTCAATATACAAGCCAAGCAACACAGAATGGAAACTTCGTCAAGGATGACGGCCCGTGGACCCCTATAGAGCTCCAGCTGAGGATGAGCGTGTTTCGGCCCCTCTTGCCCTCGCCCTCGTCGCCGTGAAAGGTTGCCGCAATTGCACGCGCACGGGCCTCAACATCAAATTGTTTGACAACAGGGTGCTCTCTGCCCCAGTCTTCTACCGAAGCACGCTCCCAAAAGTCGCACCAATCGAAATCTGGATGGTGCAACAGCGACATTGAACCACTTTCGACAATGGCTTGGAAAAGCTTTGCAGGAGAAAGGACGGGCCACTGGACCCAGCAAGTTCTCCTTGGCTCTGTATCTTTCTTTGTTGGCTTCCTCTTTGCCTGTGCCTTTGGCCGGCCTCGTTTGCCCCAAATCCTTGATGGTGTTTTTTTCGGCTTTGGTCGAGGCCAATACTTCTTGTCGATCACAGGCACCGAC